GGAACAAATTAATAATATAGGAATTTTTATTCCTGTATCATTCAATTTTCTCAGCTTAGCCAGATGCAGAATTACTAGATGAGAATGAGGGTGGAGATTTTGCAAGTGTGGCAATGAGCCCGGTGGACCAAACTGTATGAAAACCATCACTCGTGAACATTCCTGGTGGGAATGTGGACTTCAAACAACTTGAGGGGACAGATATTTAGCAATATTTTTATTCTTTGGTGCCACACTGTCACTCTAGTAATTTAGCCAGTAAATACCACTCATGTTTCCAATGTGAAACAATATATGCACCAAGGATATTTATTGTAACATAGTTTGTAATAGAAAAATATTGGAAAGAATCTTTCTGACCATCTATAGCATGTAAGAAAAAGGGATTGAGAATATGTACTTATTTCTACACAAAGACACAGGAAGGATAAACTGAAACTTAAGAAAGATGATTACTCAAAGGAAGTGGGTAGGAATAGGGTAGAGGGAACAAGGATAGGAGCAAGTCTTCTCTGAGTATCTCCCTCAGTTTAGTATTTGTTAATGGCCTTGTAGCTCACCCTTTTAAAGTGTTCAATGCAGTGGGTTTTTTGTATTTTCACGAAGCTTTGTATTGATGACCACCATTGAATTCCAGAATATTTTCTTCACTCCATAAGGAGACCCCGTACTCACTAGCAGTCATGCTCCATTGTCACCTCCTCCCACCCTACTCCCTCACCCTTTGCAACCACTAAGTCTGCTTTCTCTCTGTGTGAATTAGCTGATTTGGGCATGTCACAAAAATGGATTCGTATGGTATGTGCTCTTCTGTATCTGGCTTTCTTCACTTAGCATAATGTAGTCTAAGTTCATTCAAGTTATAGCACATATCAGTTCTTTGTTCCTTTTAATAGCTGCATACTATTCCAGCATATGGATATACCGCCATTTGTCTATTCATTTATTAGTTTGATAAACATTTGAGTTGCTTCCAGTCTTGGGCTATCATGAGTAATGCTGCTATAAACATTTGTGTTATCAGGTTTTGTATGAATATATGTTTTCAAAAATCTTGGTCAAATATACTTAGGACTGGATTTGCTGAGGTCTATGGTACTATAGTGCTTAACATTTTGAAGAACTGCGATTAGCAATGCATGATGATTCTAATTTCTCCAACTTCTTATCAGCATTTGTTATTCTTTCTTTTTGATTGTAGCCATTCCTTTGGGTGTGAGGTGGCATCCCATTTTGGTTTTATTTGCCTTTCACTAATGGTTGTTGATGTTGAACATCATTTTTGGTCAATTCTATTTCTTGTTTGGAGAAGGCTATTCAGGTCTTTTGCTCAGTTTTTAATTGGATTATTTTCCTTTTCATTGTTGAGTTGTAAGAATTCTTTACATAGTCTTGATAAAAGTTCCCTATCATGTATATAATTTTTCAATATTTTGTCCTATTCTATGGGTTATCTTTCCAGCATCTTGACAACTCCCTTTGAAATATATTTTTCATTTTGTGGAAGTTCAGCATATCTATTTTTTGTCAGATACATATGTTTTTGCTGTCATATGGTGTCCATATGTATTCATTTGAGCCAGAGCCACTTCTTGAAAAAGGCCATTCTTTCCTCCACGGTAGCTCAGTGACGCCATTGCCAAAATCCAGTTGGATCAGGTAATTGCAGTCTGTTCACATTTTGGTTTTACTCCATTAATCTAGTTGTCTATCTTTCCTCCGGTACCACACTGTCTTTACTATCTTAAATATTGTAGCTTTCTAGTGGGTCATGACAGCTGGCTATAAAAATCCTCCAGCTTTGTTCTTTGGTCTTTGTTTTCTCCATTCTTGTCTTTTTGCATTTATGTGTGAATTTCAATGTTAGTTTCATTACAAGCTTACTGTAATTTTTATTGGAATTTCTCTCTATCACTGAGCCATAAATCAAGTTGGGGTAGACTGACGTATTAATATCAAGACTCTGACCTATGAACATGGCATATTCCTATATTTGCATGGAATTTCTTGAATTTTTCCTAAAAATATCTAGTACTTTTTACTGAAAATATATTTACACGTTTATTGTTATGTTTGTTCTGAGGTATTTGGTGATTTTAGATGATGTAATTTTAAAAATAAAAATAATTGTCTTGATCTATAAAAATGAAATTAATTTTGATTATTTCACCTTTTACTAACCTTGTTAAATATGCTATTAATTCTGGTTCTGCTGGTTTTATCAAAGAAGGTGGTAGTTGTTTCCTCTTTTATATTTTTGGAAATCTTTATATAAGGTCAATGTTATTTTCTTACGGATTTGGAAGAATTTGTCCATGAAGCCATTTAGACCTGGAGTCTGACTCTGTGCTGAGATTTTTAATTACAGATTTCATTTCTTTCCTAGGTATATGACTATTTCTTCTTATGTCAGTTTTACTATTTTGTATTTCTCATGGAATTTGTCTACTACTTTAGGGATGCTTCTATCCCATTCTCTCACTTTCCTACCATATCACACCTGGCTCTTCCATTCTTCTTACCCTTACTGTCCTTCCTAAACATCATCTACTCTTTTTAACGTTACCCAATCACCTGTTAAATCCGTCATTTGAGTACTTAATTTTTGGCATTTTCGTTTTCTGTTTTAGCCTTTTCATTTGATTTTTAAATTATCGAATAGTGTATACAGTTGTGTAGTCTCTCTCTTGCCATATCTTTTCTTGACCCTATCCATCACAATTATTTTAAAGTTTATCTGGTAACTGTAATATCACCTAACCTTCAGTTGCTTGCCTCTCTTTAGTTTTGCTCAGTCTCATTTATTTGTAGGGCAGAAAATTTGGATTGAATGCTCAAATTGTATATGAAAAAATGTACAGGCTCCAAATCATGTTCTCTTCCCCCAGGGAAGATTTCTTGGTCCTCTCTCAGGGAGCAGATCACCTTAATTCACTGGGGACATCGCTGACTCAAGGCTGGTTTGCAGTCTTCAGTGGCCTATTTTGCCCCTGGTTCACCCTTACTTCTAGAGTACTTCCACCTGTGAATCAAGGCTGTTTCCTAGAGCGCCTCCCCATTGGCCAGTCCTGAACTCCCGTTTTTCTCTCTAGCACTGAGCCAGTCCTGGACTTGCCCTGTTTGTTTCATGGACTGCTTTGCTGTTTGTTTCTGACTGGATTCTCAGCCTTATTCTGGACACAATTTAAGCACAAATGCCTCTAGAAGAAAACTTGTTCCAAGTGTTGGTCCTCTTTGGTGTCCCGCTTGTCTCTCTGTGATGTTGGTCCCTCAGTATCCAGCTGCTTTGTAAGCTCCACACTTTTGACCTTTCAGGCTCGTGATCAGACCAGAGTTGCTCTGCTAGCTTGTCTCGTGCTCCATACCCAACATTCTGGTGGGAAAGAAGCATCCCAAAGTAAGACTCACCTTAATGAGCTCCTCTTGCTTCCAGATCTAATTTCACAAGTCTTTGCTACCTTGGTAGTCCTCTGATGACAAAAGATTTTAAAAAAAACTTCCCTTTTGTAGTTTTTCATGTTAGAATATCCATCTGCTAGAAGCTACTCAGTCACAGGAAAAAAACTTCAGATTTCATGATTATGTTGTGTTTGTATTGCCCCTTAACTTTGTCTATTTTTTTTTGAGACAGGGTCTCACTATGTAGCTCAGGCTGACTTTGAACTCATTGTGTAGCCAGGCTGGCCTTGTATTCATGGCACGATCCTCCTGCTCAGCCTCCTGAGTGCTAGGATTAGGAGTGTGCCACCACACCCAGCCCCCTCTGTCTATTGACCCTTCATTCGGACTGAACACACTGGAGAAGTGGCTGACTTTAAGGAATGTGCAAGCACAAGATGAACATGGATAATTGCTGAATCAGAAAGTAAGAAAATGATCAGAGAATGGCAGGAGTATGACAAGACATAAGGACATGGAGTCAATGTGGACACGGACTATCTACTTGTTAACCATGGATAATTCAAACATCAAAACTGATAATAGTTTATAATGCATTGGTTTAAAAAATTCATGGGTCCATGGTGGTATTCAAAATAAGAAAGGAGAGGGGCCGGGGATTTAGCTCAGTGGTTCCGCCGCCTGCCTCACAAGCGCAAGGTCCTGAGTTCGATCCCTGGTACCAAAAAAAAAAAAGAGAAAAAAGGAAAAAGCGCAGTGTTTCTTTTTAGGCAGAAGAGTGCCAGTTTTTAAATGGAGAAAGAACAATATAAGTAAGGAAGTGCTATTTTATAACCTCCAGAGTAATACAGTAGTTGGCTGAGATAAAGATTGTCAAAAAAACCGCTAATATAGTTGGATATAATGTTGTTGGAAACACAACCCAATGTATCACTCCACAGTTTACTTTTAAAAAAGGAAAATATACTTTTACAATGGAAAAGTCAGGTAGCTGCTAGCTGTAGCAAGTGGCCAGGCTTGACAATGATGTCAATAGTGGTTTCTTCTAACGTTATGTTTCCAATATCATCCTGTGGAAGGTACACAATCTCATTCTAGAAAGTTTTGATCATCACGAGGAAACAAGACATTCTAGAACATATGGCACCTGGACTCTTTAAAAGACTTTTCATAAAGAGCAGAGGACGTTAGGAGGATTGTTCTAGACCACGGGAGACTAGAGACACAACTGCTGAATGTTTTGAGTGTTCTTGTATTGTAGAAACAGATATCACAAAGGGTATTTTGGTGACAGTAGAAGAGATTTTAGTTTGACTTGATGCTGAATGATATTGAATTTATGAGTGTGATGATGTTATAGTTACTTAAGGAGACTTTATTCTTGGCAGATGCATGCTGAAATATTTCTCAGTGAAGCATCATGATGAAAGCAGCTTAATTTTCTATAGGTTGAAAATACGGAAATGTAGTTGTCAGTGTGTAGCGAGAGAGATGGAGTGGGTGTAGCAACATGTTAACAGTTGGTGAACACAGGTGAGGGATGTGTGAGTGTTGAAAATTAGAAGAAAAAACCCTTTGTAACCTTTTATTATTTTTTCCAGGAAACATCCACAAGATGGCAGTAGAGGAACAGTCTTTGAATGAGTTTCTCTGAGGCCTATCATAAAGTGACCTTATTCTGACTTGAAAAGCAGACTATGAAATCTAACAAAGGATTATTTTTGCATTGTGAATACATTTATATGAACAGTAACACAAAGATATGAACACAAGATGTCATATGGGTGTATTATTCTATGAATTGCTTTTATTGAAAGAAATACCATTGTATTTAATTTGCTGCATGAAACTCAAGTGGGTCCAAAATATAGAGTGTCTGAGTATTTTTCTAGTGAAAATATCCACAGCTTCTGTCATATCTTAAGGGATCAATTATTCTCCAAACCGAGAAGCTTGAGGGGCTTAGGAAAGCAGAGTAGGGTTAATGCCTTAACCACATTGGAGTTGCTGGTAGTTTCCTTTTACTATATTCTTGAAAGTGTTTGAGATTGATGAAGCACCCAGCAGTGATCATTTGCTAAATGGATATGAAGTAACACTTCTGCCATCCCTTCTTTTGCCTTCTCCCAAACACACACACCAAGATAAAAATCTATTTCACAAGATGCTTGTGGCCTCAATCAGATGTTTGCCCGTGTTTAATTTTTACTCTCCAAAAATCCTCACTTATTGGTCATTGGAGATGCTGACCATATAGGAAAAATTTCTGTCTATGAACATTTGTCAAACGAGTTCATGTTTAAGGGGAACATGAGCCAAGCTGGTGATTATCGGAATCTCCCAGTCTCAGGTGAGTGTCTCCTGGGTATCCCCCCACTCCTGCCCCAGAAAGTTATTGGTTTGCATGAGGACTTGGAAATCCTAGAGACAAGCCACATAATGCTCTTTTCTTTTGATTTGCTAATAGAGAGCTACCTTTGTTTTCTGTGGACTGAAAGCCACCTGGCAGAGAGCTATTAAAAGCTTACCTATTGACTTGATTGCAAAAGAAGATCCCTGAAAAATACCCTGATCCAGCTATCTGGGTGTTATTTTTATTATTTATTTATTTATTTATATATTTTTTAGGCTAAGAATAGGAAAAATTTATTGAGAGAAAGAAAGCTTCTAAGAGAGACAGAAGGGGGACCAGAAAGTGGTTGCCCGCCCATCCCACTTTTTTTTGTTGTTGTTAAATTCATTATTGGTACATTGTAGGTATACAACACAATTACATTTCTCATTGGGAATTGTACCTTTACATAATGCATCTTGGCTCTTATTTTTTCCCCATT